GGGGGGGAGCCAGGTGCCAGGGCTGTAACGCCCCTGGCTGTCCCAAGAGGGCACAGAGGACACTGGGGTGGAGGGCAGCACAGAGGGCCTGGCCCTATGCAAAGCAGGCGCCTGAGTGAGCAGCACAGGAGCCCTCCTGTGAGAGCTCTCATGCGAGGTCCCCCGAGGCAAGCAGGCAACATAGGGGTGGGGGGGCAGCGGGGGACCAGCCCCCGCCTCAGAAGGGGCAGAGGCGCTGGTAGGCCAGGTAGAGCAGGGCCATGGAGCACACGTAGAAGAGGGACAGGAAAGGGGTCAGGGATGCCTATGGACACCTAAGCCCTGTGGAGTTTAAAACCCCAAGGCCCCAGTGAGGGGGTGGAAGTGTGGCCCCAGTGAAGGAATGTAAAATGGGTAACAGGCCGCATGGAGTAGGGTTTGCAGGGACGGCCTGAAGGACGGTGCATGAAGGCGCAGAGTAGGGTCTATGTGTCCTGAAGGATAGCGCAGAGGCCAGCCCAAACATGAAGGCCCTAGTGAAAGGGCATGATTGGAAGTCATAGCAAGAGGGCAGGAGGCCCAGGCATGTATGAGGAGGCCTGAGGCATAGTTTTTACTTTGGATGCCATCTGTGAGGAATGGGACATGGTATAGGGGAGGTCAGAGCCGTCTATAATGCCCTTGGCATCAGGGTATAAAATGGTCAGCCTCCTGCATTATTACATCTTTCTTTATACATCAAATTGTGGCAGGTGAGACAGGGCAGACTGCCCTAGACAGGTGGGTGGGCCAGCTTTGTTCCTGGCCTTGTGACTTCCCCTTGTCAGTTCCTGTTAATGCAGCCCAGTATGCTGTTATCTTTCTTGGCAACAAGGGCACACTATTGACTCATATCCAGCTAACTGTCCATTGTAACCCCCAGGTCCTTTTCTGCAGAGGTGCTCCCCAGCCAGTCAGCCCCCAGTCTGTAGCGGTGCATGGGATTGTTCGGCCCTAAGTGCAGGACTTTGCACTTCTCCTTGTTGAACCTCATGAGATTTCTTTTGGCCCAATCCTCCAATTTGTCTAAGACCGGTCACTCTGAATCCTAGCCCTACCCTCCAGCTTGGTGTCATTCACAAACTTGCTGAGGGTATACTCCATTCCGTCTTCCAGATTGTTAATGAAAATATTGAACAAAACCAGCCCCAGGACCAAGACCTGGGGCACTCCACTTAATAAAGGCTGCCAACTAGACATTGAGCCGTTGATCGCTACTGGTTCCACCCAACGATCCAGGCAGCTTTCTGTCCATCTTGCAGTCCATTCATCCAACCCATACATCCTTAGCTTGTTTGCAAGAATGCTGTGGGAATCCTTATAAAAATCCTTGCTAAAATCAAAGTATATCATGTCCACTGCTCTCCTTGCATCCACAGAGCCAGTCATTTCATCACAGAAAGCAATCATGTTGGTCAGGCATGACTTTCCCTTGGTGAATCCATGCTGACTGTTCCTGATCACTTTCTCCTTCAAATGCTTAGAAATGGATTCTTTGAGGACCTGCTTCATGATTTTCCTTGGGACTGAAGTGAGGCTGACTGGTCTGTAGTTCCCTGCATCCTCCTTCTCCTCTTTCTTGAGGATTGTCACTATATTTGCCCTTTTTGCAATAGTCTGGTACCTCCCCCAATCACCATTTAGACAATCCAGTTGTTTTAACATGACCAAAAGAGGAGAAAATAAAAATGTAATGCACACCCATGCACTTAAATAAAAGGAGATTAAATTTAGATTTATGTATACATAAAAACACTGCATTAATCCTTGGTGCTATAGCATAACTGTAGATGTACCCCTTCTCTAACCCTAACAAGAATCAGAAAGAGAGAGCAGCAGGCTGATACTGTTACCAGCACAATTATTTATGTTTGCAAATGCTTTTCTCTTATCTGTTTTTATGCAAAAGACCCACATGAACAGATTAAACTGGATCTATAGGAAGGACTATCAAACATACAAAGTAAAGAGCCGAACAATGAGGGAAAATGTTTTATTTCCATTTTTAGTGTAACTGTAGTATTACTGAAGTAATGAAAGTAAGAAAGAGGGTTTAAAACAAAGGGTGGTTTTGTTTTGTTTTAAGTTGACCTGTATGCTTCTGTGCAAGCCCTATGAGATGCTTAGGAGAAGCCATTCACCTTTCAGCCAGTAGAACCTGATCTTTCACTCAGCTTACAAACTCAGTTTCTATTGATTTTTTGCATGTTGAATGACTCCCAGATAAGTCCCTCAGTCTGTATTGCACTGCAGTAACTGTCTTATGCAAGAACAGCAAGGAAATTAGCTTTTGGCGACTCCCACACAATAGCATTGCATTTTTTTCCTTTCAAAAAGGCAGTTGTTCGTATAATCTGAAGACAGCTTGGCAAGTTTTGACTTTGTTTTTCTCTTTCTCTCTCTCTCAGACCCCATTAATAATATACCTCTTTCATTTCCTGATTGAATATGCTGAATTGGTGTTCATGGTAAGTGCTGCTTCAGCCTTCTTTTGTTTTTTAAAGTCCCAGGAATGCCCCTTTTCTAGGGCAACATCCTGTGAGCAGTTGATTTTGCTCAGTTTCAACAACTATCATTGACTTCCAGGAGACTTAAGGGTCATCATCATCTTATAACTCAAGCCTTAAATTAGCTCAAAAGTCATTCAGGAAGACAGATGTGTCTGTGCATATGTCATGTCTTTCTGTGCCCCTAAGTCAGGGGTGGACAATTATTTCAGCTGGAGGGTCACCTAATGAGTTTTGGTGAACTGTCAAGGGCCACAAGGGTAGCCCTGCCCATTGACATGTGCCCCATCCCCTGGTTGCCATCTTGTGACCAGATGTCCTGCTTCCTAACCCCCTGATTTTTGCCACCAGAAGTCCCTTCCCTTGCCCCCAGAAGTACTCCTTTTGGGAGGGGAGGGTTGCCATCTTGTAACCAGAAGAAAACCAAATCATGTACTAAAAGTTAAACATCTACTATAACGTATTTTAATTTTATTACAAAAAAACCTTTGTCATGATTTGTGTTTGTGTAGTGTATATAGAGGTGATTGCATAATAGCTCAAAATAAAATCTTACTCTTGTATGTTGTGTGTGCGCATGGTGAGGGGTGTGGGTGGAGGGGATTGTGAGGGGTGGCTGTGTAGGGGGTATAAGGTATGTTGCAGGGGAGTGTGTAGTGTAGAGGGGTTGTGGGG